ACAAACTCAAAAACCAAATGCCATTTGCTGGAAGTTTAATTTACGACATAATTAATACCAAACTGTATAAAAAATATAAAGATTTTCCATTTAAGATGAAAAACCCTTTGTCTAAAATTATGCTTTATCAGGAAATCCTCAAGTTGCATACTTTTAAGTTCATGTTGTTTTAAAGAAACCCCAAACAACCCCTCCTTTTAAACATCTTTTGTTTCCCGATTGATAATCAATTATTCGAAAAAAAGTAGCCAAGAAAATGTATTAATTAGCAAAATAGTCTTAAGTTATCAGTCTGTCTGTCTGTCTGTCTATCTACTCTTTTAAAATGTGCAAAGCATTTTTTTTTCTAAACTCAAAATATTTGTTGAGGAATGTTAATTTCCTAAAAGTATCAATCTATGAAAATGTGTAATTAAATTCATTGATTACTAATCTAATCAACAGCTGCTGCTCTAGTTGGATTAAAACATTCCTAGCTACAAACAGCAGCCTAAGAATGTTGTGCTTGCTTTCAGCTAATGAGCTTTAATGTGTAACTATGTTGTTGGTGCAATACAGTGTCATTTTATTCATTGTGTATTTCTTCTTCAGGTGGAGTTAGACCAGGATCCAGGAGGCAGTGAGCTGCTAGAGAGCACAGCTCAAGAAGATGAAGAAAGAATAGCTCTTATGAAAAGGAAATGTGCTGTGATGGCCAGGAAGTGCTTGGAAATAGAACAGGTGAGCGTAGTGTTTTTGTTGATCACTTTACAACCTTCCTGAATGTATTTCTTTTAAATTATAAATATGTAATAAGGCGGCATTGGTTAATTTTAGCCATAGTTTTGTTTCAAAGTGCGGTATGTGATTTTTTTTTTTTTTTTTTTTTTTTTAAATATATAAACTTCTGTCACATATTATTTTTTTCTGTTTTTCCTTGATGATCCTTTATGACAACTACTGCTATGTGTTGTGTTCAGGTAAACCAGAAAATCCTCAATCGCCTTCATCAAGTCCAAAGGATTACACGACGCTTGAAGAAAGAGAGGCGGTATATGACTTCATGTTGATACCTGAAGGTTTTTTTTTTTTCTTTGTGGTTGAACCTTTCTACCGGAAGGCTTACCTGAAAACTCTGCTGATCTTCAAAGGTTCCTCATGAAAACGCTGGATCACCATGGAGATGATTATAGAAACGCCCAGCTCACCATACTCCTCGAAGTAAGGTTTAGAGATATGAAAATGCTACAGAATTAAATGTAGATTTAATTTAAGAAAACTTTAATCACAATCAAATATGCATACATTTGTGAAATATTGCTGAAATTATAATAATTCAACAAATTTGAGAGACTATAGATTCATGTGATCTTTACTGCACAGTAATTTATTTATATTTTCATTTTAGAAATTATTTTTTCGGTTGTTTTCCCCATAGTATTCTGTTCTGTTCTGTTCTATTCAATTCTATTCTATTCTATTTATTATATTATATTATATTATATTATATTATATTATATTATATTATATTATATTATATTATATTATATTATATTATATTATATTATATTATATTCTTCTATTCTAATAAAAGGTTTTCCTGGTCATCCCCTTACTTAAACTTAAATGATAATTTACCATTCTCTGTATATTTATTTACCAAACCTAATCTGTGACTATATGCGTTTCTCATACTTTATTGGGAAAGCACTAGAATTTCCCTAAAAATTGTCCTGTATGATTAGAATATAACTTCTGTGGCAATTTGAAGCAAAATGTAGCACCATAATTTACATGAAACTATCCCGCTTTGATCATGACAAAACTATAAAGCGTTCTGATGTAATGTGCGTTAAGTAACAACCCTGCTGATAAGCTGTTGATTTTAGAATGTATTTGTTTGCTCCAGGACGAGTCTGGAGCCCACTTGGATTCTGGTGCTGGAGTCGAGGAAGAAAGACTCAATGGTTTCCCTGGTTCCTCTTTGGCTCTACACCATGTAGCCGGGCCAAAGAAGAAGAGGCACAGAATACCCCGAGAAAAGGACAAAGATCAACAGGTTACTGAACAACTATGTGGTGTCAAATTTTGATCACCAGCAGACTGTTTCCTACACCTTTTATGTTTTGTTATTTTTAAGTGATTCAAAGAAGGGAAATACCTCCTCAGCCTTTTACCCATTTCAGCAAAGGAAAAATATTCAAATACATCCATCCGTCAGTATCCACTTATTAGAAATGCATTAACTCATTTTTTTCCGATCTAATTGATACTAATACCTGGGTGAGCACATTGGTCGACACCGATCTGACTCAATCGTTGGAAAAAATTAACCGTATTTCTTCCCATTTAAGTTTACCGGATTGGATGTTCTATAACTGGTAACAAATTGCAGATATACAATCCAGCTAATTAGTCAATATCGAAGCTGATATCTAATCCAGGTATTTAATTGGCGCATCTCTACTACTTATCCTTGCAGGGTAGCAACATAGAACAGAAAACTATTCACAGGCATATTAATTCCTAAGGACAGTTAGAAGAAACCAATAATATAATAGTCAGGTTTTCAGAAAATGGGAATAACCCATATTACAGAGAGAACCCATGCATGGGTAGAACAAGCAGACTTCGTTCAGGTAGGCGTGTGGAACCAGGAAAACATCCGAAAACATCTAGAATGCTGGTCCTTGAGGACTTGAAGCAGACATCACTGGATTAACTTTGCTGTTAAAAAAAATGCATAAAGTTTCACTATGAGTTTAAACAAATGAGAGTTAAAACATATAATTTGATCAATAAATACATTTTCCTTCTGTTTTAGGTTGATCCCGACATGTCTGTGTTGTCAGAGACTCCGTTTGGAGAAATGCCCAGCCCAACATCTTTGTCACACTAACTGGTGTTCTGGACATTTTTCTTCACCTATTTATTGGATGAAGTTGTTTTTCCAAAGTCTAACTTTGCACGTTTTTTTTTTTTTATTATTTTTCCTTGAATAAACCAGACAAATGGACAAAAGAATAAAATGACAAGTGATAAATTTATTTAATTAGAAACAGTGATTAAAACATATTGTGCCTTTTGCTTATTGGTGATTGAGATTTTTTTTTTTTAAATGACATCTTAACTGTTGAAATTACTCATTTTAGTTTGATAAATGTTAAAGCAAATGATGCAAATTCATCTGATTTGTTGTTCTACAATATTCAATGTTTAAGGTAAAGGGTAAACTTAAGATGATGCTCCTTTTATGTATGGTTAGCTCTGAAAATGATGGATTTTGAAAATAAAGAAAATCCCTTCAAGCTTAGTGGTTTCCTTCATTTGGGAGATCTATCCTTTCTACAGGTGAGCACCTAATGCAGAACTCTACTCTTTGTAGGAAACTGCCTCAGATTCAGCAGGTAGGATTCTTATTCTGGATTGCTTTTCTTAGAGGAGGTGTGTCAAAATATATTGTTCAATGAATCGATAAGAACATCAAGCAAACGAACATGTGCAAGATCCACCTATTCCAAAAGTACAAAGCTGAAATCTTTTAAGATTTTTTTTTAAACTTAAAAAAGTGAATTCCTGGAATTTAAATATAATTTACCCAATGATTTCTTATGTCCAAATGTCAAGGGCAAAGTTTTTGATGCATGCTCAAATAAAGTAATTGAAAATATGTATTATTTTAGCGTTAGAAAAACCGATTACAAACATTACAAGATTAATACATAGTAACTTTCACAAGTTTAGTTGTAGACATTAAAAATCCAATAAAACAATTAGAAGGGATTAAAAACACTTGTTTCAACCTAGGTAAACAAGTACTAAATTTTTGAGTAGATTAAATCAAATTAGGAGCCTTATGAAAACATTTAAATTTTTTGTAACACATATATGCAAACAAAGTACTTCCCCAGTATTACTATGTTATTAATTAGGAATTCTGTTTTACTCCAAAAGTCCTGTGTGGCACTTCTAAGAAAGAAATTATGTGACTTTTTCTCTTCATCCTCACCTAATTTAAAATCCATCCATCCATTTTGTAGCACGCTTATCGGTAGCAAATTTAAACTACAACCTGGTTCTATTATTTAAAATTTTTATATGTAGTTCTTTAACTTTTGGAGGAAGAAGGATGTACATTCATTTGGTCATAAAGTAAAACCACTCAGTTTAACTTGAGCAGGAGACATTTGCTTCCTAATTTATTCATCTGTAATGTTTTAATCTGTGAACTCCATTATTTCAAACAAAGTTAAGATATATTTTGTTTATGGTATTAATAATGTTTGGTTGGCCCAGTAGAGAACATGCTGGGTAGATCAGTTTGGTTATGTTATTTACTCTGGATAGAAGGATACTTCAAAAGACGATATCTCTTTGCACACATTTGCTTAAACTTAAATTACTTTTTATCCTTTGCTAAAGATATTATTCTTCTCAGATGTTGCTTTATCTCTACAGATTATTGTTCCAAAATATTTTACATATTTTCTCACTTTTATATTGCGCAATGGTTATGGTTTTATATTATTATTATTTTTTTTGTTATCATCTAAGGGTTTATCATAAATGGTAAGTCTTACATCCATAAATATAAAATTGTGATCATTGTATTAGAAATTTTTTTTTTTTATTTAAATGCTATTGGAATTTGATTACCGCTTTCCTTTAAAAAGAATATATACATATATATATGTATTGTATAATCAGCCAACTAATTTATTGGTATATTTTGTTCAAATACATAAATGTAGCTATTACATGTGTCTGGTCTTAATTACACAAATAACATTTCAGCCAAACAGCCATAGGTAAGAGGGGCGTCCCTTATTTCTTATTTGACTTAAATAGAAAATATAATTATTTAAAATGATAGTGGACCAGTAAGGAAAGAAATTGAGTCGCGCATCAGTCATCAAACAGAAGAGCCAATGGCTGTTCTCCAATTCACCGGATAGGCATCAGTGACAGGCGTGGTTCTTGTCCAATCAGATCTCGTAGAATGGGTTTAGGGCGGGGCATAGACGAGGAGGTGGGATTTTAGCTACCGTCCATCTTCAGCTACATTACAGTGAGCGAGTCTATCGAAAAGAAAAGTAAAGAAGTAAAGAAGATTTACTGGAAATAGTTTTGGCTTTATTTGAAATAAGACAAACGAAAAACCATATACTAGGTAAATGTCTCACACAAGTATAAATATACATGGTCGGATTAACCCAGTTTCCCTTTTTGGCTAGCTGAGCTGCTACCTAGCATTTCGGGTATTTGCTAGCATATCGGCGAGTGGAACGGTTTCTCTTATATATTACCTTTCAAAATGCAAAATATCTTTATCAATGCTCCGATGGAGCCCAGAGTAGCGATGCATGGCTATGAGCTAAACTAAATGTGAAGCTTATTTTAAAAACCGATAGTTAGCCGAGCGAGGTGGACGAGTTAGGCTAGTGTTTAGTGTTAGCTCGCTAGCTGGCTAATTTTAGCTGAGTGCCAAACCAGTCATATTTGTTAATGTTAGTAGGATCATATAACTTCACAGAGTAAATTATGGATTGACTGTCACGTGTAATTTCGACATAATTGTGTTTTAGTTCTGCTTTTGTGTTATATGTGTGTTGCTAATGTCAGCTGTAGGTTTAGATGATGTTAACGTCAGTTTCAGATACAGCGAAACGATATACGGCTTTACTGTTGTTGGTTGATTTATGTTTTATTTTGTATTATGTGGTGATACATGTGTGGTTTATTTACACAGATCACTTGTGACAGACGGAATGTGGAAATTGTCGTAGTCAGAGCCATGGCTGATAAAAGAAAACTACAAGGTAAGTGTCTGTGAAGCTGCATGTGCTGCCAGTGAACGACCTGCAGACTTTACCCATTCTTTTTGTCATCTATTTTGGTTGAAGTGTTTTTGATTAGATTTCATTGTACTTTTCTGCAACCAAACTTGGATGTTTTTTCCCCAATTTCCAGGTGAAATTGACAGATGTTTGAAAAAAGTAGCGGAAGGTGTTGAACAGTTTGAGGACATCTGGCAAAAAGTAAGCGATTTTCCAGCTTTGAGGAAATTTGTACTGGGATCAAAATCTTCAGATATTCAACTTTACACTTATTTGTGTTCTACTTCTCAGCTCCACAATGCAGCTAATGCGAATCAGAAGGAAAAATACGAAGCTGATCTCAAGAAAGAGATTAAAAAACTTCAGGTAGGATTGGACAATACACTTAAACCAATAGGAATGTAGCCATTTAGAGTGCTAGAATGTGTTCTAATGCTGTGTGTTTTCTTTTTTTTTGCAGCGATTGAGAGATCAAATAAAAACATGGGTGGCCTCCAACGAGATCAAAGACAAACGGCAGCTAGTAGAGAACCGAAAACTAATAGAAACGGTATGTATTCTTTGTTATGTGTTCATAATGTAGCAGTTTTGGATTTTGTTTTTCTGGCCAGCGTAATTAACAACAATTCCCCTTTAACAATAATGTTTCGAAGATAACCTGCAGATATGCTCACGGGCCACTTTGTTTGATAAACCTGTTAAGTATCTTGTAAAAACAAACAGGGATTCTGTCAATCACATGGCAGCAACACATTGTATTTACTTATCTAGGTGACGTTTTTCTGAAGTTTCCAGAATTATGTAAAGAAATAGTGTTTTTATGACTTAAATGTTTTGTGAATATTGTTTAAAGATGGATTAGTCTGAGTATTTGACCACTTCCAATGAGCAGTAGCCAATTTGACGTTATGCTTTGATAATGGCAGACATGTATGAACAGGTTGGTCTGGGATGTTAGTGAAGTAGTTGTAGCTGAAATACTCGTTAAAATCGTATAAAGCAAATCATAAACATAAATATGTAATTTTATAGGGGCAATATTATCTATAGACCACTCTAAAGGCCACTCCTGTCAGCTAAGAACCAGAAATAAAGGATTTATTTAGGTTCCCTAAAATCTGATGCATTATCTGATGAGGCTCGATTTTAACTGCAACATTCTGGTAAATAAGTCGAAAACGGGTGTCCTTATGGTCTCTTAGCTGCAGTTCAGGCATGAGGTGGTGATTTGGTGATGGGCACTGTTTTCTTGGCACACTTTTGGCTCATTTGCTGCCACTGAGCATAATCTGAACTCTGCAGCCTACTTGAGCTTTGTTGCTGACCAGGTTCTTGCTTTTAAGACAACATAGGGCGTATCCTCAGATGTTTACACCTTGTCAAACAGCTCAGAATGTCTTCAGTGCTTTTCTAATATACGAAAATGAGTTCCCTGTACTCTAGTGTTCTCCACAGCACTTGCCCCGAAGTAACATCTTTCAGATGTAGTGGAAGGGAGAATTTGCAGCATAGATGGGCAAAAAAAAACAATCTACAACAAATCTAAAACCTGAGTATTTTTTCTTGCATTAGAGCTGAAGTCAAAATGGAATCAAACCTTATTTTTGCAAAGTGTTGTCCATAAAGTGGCAGAGAGTGAATTTGGTTCTGCATTTGGTGACAAAAACAAGGGACTCTCAATTGACATCAATGACCCTGTCTGTCATTGTTGTGATAATTTCTGTTACAAATGCAACACAGTTATGGCTATTTTGTATCAAGTTGAGCTTTGACTGTATGATTGCTTGCAACACTATTGCTACATTGTGTCTTTTCTAAAAATCTGAGAGCTTCCAGTATGATTATGTGGCAGCCCAATCAAAAAGACACATTTTTGTCTCAACAGCTATGAAAGTGTAGACTGTTCAGAAGTAAAATAACCCTCATTTGAAAGGTAGACATTGTCGGAGTAAAAATCGATGAGACTCGATGTAATTTTTTGTTTTTTGTAGCAAATGGAACGGTTCAAAGTGGTGGAACGTGAAACGAAAACAAAAGCCTACTCTAAAGAAGGCTTAGGGCTTGCTCAGAAGGTGGATCCAGCTCAGAGGGAAAAGGAAGAAACGGGACAGTGGCTAACGGTAAGTTCAATATTTATTTTTTAAATTGTTTGCTTTTTTATCTGCTAGTTTGATCAAAAGCAAGGAGAGAAACAAAGGGAAAAACTTGACATCACCTATAATTTCTGTCAACTATATTCATTAACCCTCTTCTCCTGGCTTCCCTATCACCTTTAGAATACAATAGATACACTAAATATGCAGGTGGATCAGTTTGAGAGCGAGGTGGAATCTCTTTCAGTCCAGACGCGGAAGAAGAAGGGCGATAAAGACGTAAAGCCTTCCTCTTTTTGTTATAAGCTATGACCGTTCAATAAGACTTTATTTATACACATATACACTTAGTATGGCGATTTCAGCATTTTGTTTTTATTTTCTGTTTGTCCTGCAGAAGCAAGATCGTATCGATGAACTCAAGCGGTTGATTGAGAGACATAGATACCATATTCGCATGTTGGAGACAATTCTACGGATGCTGGACAATGACTCTGTACCGGTGGACGCTATCCAGAAGATCAAGGATGACGTTGAATACTACATTGATTCCTGTCAAGACCCGGACTTTGAGGAGAACGAGTTCCTGTATGATGACCTAGACCTGGAAGACATCCGTGAGAGAGCCCTAAAGATAAATTCAGAAGATGGTTTCCTTTCTTCTGTCTTAGAGGCGTCTCCTTATGGCGTGTCTGTTATTTTCTTGTAGCTCCGGCACTTGTTGCCACTTCTCCATCAGGCAATGTGGAAGATGACATGTACCTTCACTCTAGCAGCACTCCCACCTCTACTACATCTTCTTCGCCCATCCCTCCGTCTCCGGCTACTTGCACTGCTGTAAGTTCTGTTTTGCATCGTTTGAGCTTTTGCGCTGGTGGTGAAGGGATGCCAAAATTACTCCTCTTCTCCTTTTAAACATGCACAATGCTCTGCAAAAGTAGTCATACACCTTCAAACCTTCACATACAGGTGCAGGTCATAAAATTAGAATATCATGAAAAAGTAGATTGATTTCAGTAATTCCATTTAAAAAGTGAAACTTGTATATTATATTCATACATTACATACAAACTCATATATTTCAGATGTTTATTTTGTTTAATTTTGATGATTACAAATGACAACAAATGAAAATCTCAAATTCATCATATCAGAAAATTAGAATATTGTGAAAAGGTTCAAAATTGATGGCCCCTGGTGCCACACTCTAATCAGCTAATTAACTCAAACCACCTGCAAAAGCCTTTAAATGGTCTTTCAGTCTAGTTCTATAGGCTACACAATCATGGGGAAGACTGCTGACTTGACAGTTTGTCCAAAAGACGACCATCGACACCTTGCACAAGGAGGGCAAGACACAAAAGGTCATCGCTAAAGAGGCTGGCTGTTCACAGAGCTCAGTGTCCAAGCACATTAATAGAGAGGCGAAGGGAAGGAAAAGATGTGGTCGAAAAAAGTGTACAAGCAAGAGAGATAACCGCACCCTGGAGAGGATTGTGAAACAAAACCCATTCAAAAATGTGGGGGAGATTCACAAAGAGTGGACTGCAGCTGGAGTGAGTGCTTCAAGAACCACCACACACAGACGTATGAAAGACATGGGTTTCTGCTGTCGCATTCCTTGTGTCAAGCCACTCTTGAACCACAGACAGCGTCAGAAGCGTCTTGCCTGGGCTAAAGAGAAACAGGACTGGACTGCTGGTGAGTGGTCCAAAGTCATGTTCTCTGATGAAAGTAAATTTTGCATTTCCTTTGGAAATCAAGGTCCCAGAGTCTGGAGGAAAAGAAGAGAGGCACTTCATCCACGTTGCTTGAAGTCCAGTGTAAAGTTTCCACAGTCAGTGATGGTTTGGGGTGCCATGTCATCTGCTGGTGTTGGTCCATTGTGTTTTCTGAGGTCCAGGGTCAACGCAGCCACATACCAGGAAGTTTTAGAGCACTTCATGCTTCCTGCAGCTGACCAACTTTTTGGAGATGCAGATTTAATTTTCCAACAGGACTTGGCACCTCCACACAGTGCCAAAGCTACCAGTACCTGGTTGAAGGACCATGGTATCCCTGTTCTTAATTGGCCAGCAAACTCTCCTGACCTTAACCCCATAGAAAATCTATGGGGTATTGTGAAGAAGAAGATGCAATACACCAGACCCAACAATTCAGAAGAGCTAAAAGCCACTATTAGAGCAACCTGGGCTATCATAACACCTGAGCAGTGCCACAGACTGATCGACTCCATGCCACGCCGCATTGCTGCAGTAATACAGGCCAAAGGAGGCCCAACTAAATACTGAGTGCTGTACATGCTCATACTTTTCATGTTCATACTTTTCAGTTGGCCAACATTTCTATAAATCCTTTGTTTTTATTGGTCTTCAGTAATATTCTAATTTTCTGATATGATGAATTTGAGATTTTCATTTGTTGTCATTTGTAATCATCAAAATTAAACAAAATAAACATCTGAAATATATGAGTTTGTATGTAATGTATGAATATAATATACAAGTTTCACTTTTTAAATGGAATTACTGAAATCAATCTACTTTTTCATGATATTCTAATTTTATGACCAGCACCTGTATTTGGGTATTGACAAACACAAAGTAGTGCATTCACATGAGATTGAAGAAAAATTGCAGATTGACAAATTAAAGTTTAAAAACTTTACCATTTCACAATAATGTACTATTTGAAGGCCCTGATACAAAATCGAAATAAAACACAGAAGTCTATTCTTATTTAAGAAATTGTGAGGTTTAAGAGGTTTGTAAGCCTTTGCAGGGCACTGTGTCTAATCAAGTCATCAAGCACAACTGCTTTCTAATCCACTGCCTGGTGTGCTGAATAAACTTTTCGAAAGTGGATTGTCACATCAAGGTATCTCCTCCTATAGGAGAACTCAGAGGACGATAAGAAAAGGGGACGGTCGACAGACAGTCACGTTAGTCAGGTGAGAGGTTCTCATCTGTGCTGTGTCAGTAGCTGAAAAGTGTAGAGCAGCACTCTTCACCCTTGGTCCTGGAGACTCACGGTTGCTGAAGGTTACTTGGCCTCTCAGACACTGAAATCGAATGAGTTTTCTCTGTAGGGCCATGGCTGGAGACTTCTGATTTAGTTTGTACCATCTCCTGCATAGCTGGACACGAATAGTCACAGTAAAATTTGCTCCCAAAAGATCCTGTTTCTGTATATTTGCGGTTGTGACAGTTTTTACTAAGATTCTGTTGTGTTATTTTCCTTTTAGTCGCCTGTGAAGAACGGTACCCCTTCCTTGCAATCTTCTTTCTCTTCTTCCGTCACCTCCGGGTCCTCTTCTTCCTCCTCCCTGTCTATGGCAAGTGTTGTTGGAGGTGTTCCTGTGGTTCCCACCAGCAGCAGTCTCATAGGAAGTTTCAGCAGTGCGGTACAGCAGCATCAGCATCAATCTGCACAGCAGCAGCACCAGTCTCAGCCATCAAATCAGTCGCAGCAGCAACAGCAGCCACCTCAAACGAAACCTTCGGTCCCCTCAAACAATGCCCCCAGTCCACCTAGCAACCAAGCTCTCCCAGCATCCACCGCCCCCTCCCTGTCCACACCCAGCACACCCAGTTCAACAGCTCCCAACTCTGGGTCTACCCCATCATCCAGTCTTGGGCTCGGGTCGGATTTAAGGAAAAGCGGCATGAGCGGGACCAGCAATGCTAACCAGATGCCAAGCTTAGGCTTGGCAGGCCACACCACTCCGTTAAACACAATGGCAGGCCTAATTACAAGTTCCACGTCTGCCCTTTACGCGCACGCAGCAGCATCTGGTGGACTTGGTCTGAGCAACACCACTCAGTCCAGCGTTTTGCCTGAGAGCAGCAATTCCATCTCCAATTCAAGCTCCAGTGGAATCACCACCAACGGAGCCGGGTCTGGGCTCAGCTTGCTAGGCTCTAGCTCAGCCCACATCTCTCTGGGTAACAGCATATTGGGTCTGGTCCCTGGGCAAAGCGTGGCCCCCGCTGCATCACAGGGGCCCCCGAGTTCTGCCAACTCCACCCCCGGAGCAGTTGGCCTGATGGTCGGAAACAGCGGGAACGCCGGTGTGGCTGGAGTGAACGCTGCTCCTGCCAGACCTCCGAGTGGATTAAAGCAGAATGGAAGCCCAAGTAGGTTGATATGCTGGTGATTTGTCACCGTTTACTGTAGAAACATTTTCTCCAATTTTTACCTCGCCTGCCTCCAGGTTACAGTGCTGTAGTGGCAGAGAGTTCCACTGAATCAGCTCTAAGCACACCAAGCCAGTCACAAAGCAGCCAAGCCTCCTCACTCAGCTCCTCGACAAGCCAGCCGTAAGCCGTCATTTTTCCTTCATCCTTTTACTGTTTGCCTTACCAAATGTTTGTCGTATTTTGACTCTGCTTTGACACTCTCCTCCTTGTGCAGCATGGACAATGGCCCCAGCTTAATTAGCTCCATCACATTGCCCCCAAGCTCTCCCTCCCCCTCCTTCTCAGACAGCACACCGGGTGGAGGGAGCCTCCTCAACGGGCCCCACTCATTTCCTCAGGCCTCTGAGGGCCTTAAGGTGAGCAAAGCAAGCAGTGTTGATCTCGGTTTAAGCTGTGAGTTTCTGCATCATTTTTAACTCTGAATTATTACGTGATAATAATTTATTTTTGTATTTATTTTTTTCTTTTACACAAGGACGTTCATTTAAGTTTTAACTTGGTAAAATTTGTTTATGATCAACTGCTTGTTTTCATTGCTGATTGATGAGCTTCAGATAAGAGAACTTTTTAAAGGCCAAAAATGTAAATTCGCTGTATTCCACTCTTTCTGAGCAAAGTTTCAAGCTGGGTCCCTATCTGTTTGGTTCTTTTAGACTGGATCCAGAAGCTTTTAGGAGTGAGAGTGATATAATCTAGTCTAGGAATGATTGGTCTGTTCCAGGTTGTGTAACATAGCTGATCATAGTTTTTGGTTCCTATGCTAAAAAAGTTGTTTGTTACTAAACACTTAGTCAGATCTTCCGCCTTTAGCTTTCCAGTTCCATGTCAGAATATTTTAGAAATTTCAATTTAAGTTTTAAAATGAAAGTTAATAAATATCTGCTCGAACACATAAGGAAAGCCGTTTCTGTGATTTTTACAGAAAGTTAAATCTGCCTCAAAAGTTTATAGGAGTTGTTTTGCTAAAATTGTGCCTCTTAGTAAAATTTATTTAAAAAAAACTTGTGTTAAACAGATAACTTTTTATACCTCTTAATTTGAATGATTATGACTTGCTGGTAATAAAAGTCAAAAAGTCAGATTCTTAGAAGAAAAAAAAAATGTAATGTATCATATGAACACAATGCTTTTCCTGGGTTTCTGTTTAATAAGTGGTGGCATGGAGATGACCAGCTTCCACTCAGGTAGTCAGGAAGCTGTTTAAACTTAATTTATCTCTGAATTTTCAGCAGTAGATGCTTATACTTTTCTCAGCAGGAGGAACAAAGGTGTGGCAAATTGCAAATTTTTTTTTTTTAAACATTGGCTTTGTACATTTAGCATTCTATTAAGCAGCTTTAAAGTCTGTGCTATGCAGGAACTGCTGAACTGAAGCGTCTAAATGGAATTCAATTAGTTTTTAATGATATGAATGCCACCTGTGGCTTTCTTTTAACAATAAAGGATCAACGCTAAATACATTACTGCAGGGATCTACAGTGACCTTGTGGGCCGCTATCTGCAGATTTAGTTTTTCCTGCTTTAATACGCCTGATTCAGATGTTTACAGCTGAAACCTCTAAAATACACAGGACACCAGCCCTCAGGAACTGATTTAGTATGCCTCTTCTCCAGCACAGCTGAATCAAATGCAGCTAAATTAACCCCTGTGGCAGTCTGTATAAGTCTGGTAATCAGCCTTCATTTGGTTCAGGTGTGTTGCAGCTGAGCAGCTTCTCAAAGGGGCAGGATTGTTGCTTTTGAGGACTGGAGATGGGGACTAGATTATTTTGCCATTTCAATGAATAACTAGTAGTCTATTGGTTCTTTGTTTTTTTATAGATACTTGTCAATAGGTTGAAATTTAGATATTGTGTCTAAAACAACCCTAACTGCCCCAAACTCATTTATGTATAACCTGCAGTTGTACAGCAGCACATACAGATGGGAAGCAGCTTATAAACTAAGATGGTTTGGAGCTGAAAACTTTACCTTTCTACTCTGACAAGGCAAATATCCCAGAATTGACTGATGATGCAAAAAGTAATAGTCTCAGTTTACATTAAGATTAAGCTGGAGAATAATTTTAATTTTTCATTTCATGTTCTTTCACTGCCTTTCTGTTTCAAAATGTCAGTAGTCTTGAATCAATTGACTTTACCGTTTCCATTTAACTTCAGCGCCTTATGTTACCATCAGCTCCTGTCTCTCTCCCCCTCCTCAGGCTCCGGAGCCCCTCAGCTCTTTGAAGGCGATGGCTGAGAGAGCGGCGCTGGGATCAGGAATAGAGGGAGAGATCTCCAACCTGCACGTATCCAACAGAGGGCTGAACGGTCAGGCAATATTTCTACTGAATTATCCTCTCAAAATTAACATGACATAGTCTCTTTACGGTGGATATACAGCATTTCTCCGTTTGTATGTAGAAATACTTCTCAAACATTACGAATAAACTGATTATTTAAAAGCAGTTGCAGTTTATAGATTTTTAGGTGGAACCATTTTATTTATACATTCCTCATAGTTGGGTTTGGTTATATTTAAAGTTTTCTGTTCTTATAAATTAATTTTTCAAAAAATCTCAAGAGAAAAAGTATTGCCATCTTTCTGATAGCCCAAGGTTTAGGATTTTTACTTTTGAAAGAATTAGAAGTTGAAGAAAATCTCCCTCTTTGTCCTTTTTTCCTGTAGATATTTTTTCTGTTTCATCGGCAGCACCCGGCACACCTGCAGCTCCTCAACCATCTGTTTCGGAGGTCAGCATCCCCCCTTCGCTTGGGGTTTGTCCACTGGGCCCAACTCCTCTCTCCAAAGACCATCTCTACCAGCAGGCGATGCAGGAGTCTGCATGGACGCACATGCCTCACCCCTCTGACTCTGAGAGGATCAGGTGAGGTTCTGACAGATGGTGATAATACAGGGTCCCTGTTTTAAGATGTGATCATTGTATGTTACCCATATTGTCTCCCACTGCTTCTCTTCTCATTTAAACTCTTTGATTAAAAGCTGCATTTATTAAAACCTTTTAATTGAAGTAACATCTTGACATTAAAACAAACACGCAGCAAGAAATGAATCTGCCTAGATGGTGTTATTATAAAAACCTAATGAATAATGTGAAATCTGGTTAGTTATTCTGGTAAAATTTGTTATTTTAGGGAGAGAAATCCCCTTTTTGAAAAGTCAAAGTCAAAAAGTCAAAGTTTTGAAAGTTTTTAGATTCAAACAGAATTTTCTGGAGTATTATTAGACAGAATTTAATACAGATTAAACCACATTATGGTGCAAAGGCAGGGCAGAGTAATAAGAAAATATGCAATGATTTCTTTCTGTTAATATTTTAATAAAGCAAAAACGAAAAGCAAAAACGTTTACTTTATGTTAAGCAATTTATTAAATGATCCTCAAAAAGGGAAGTAGACAAAATATTTTTTTGAAGAAGCTGGCTTTTCAGACTGTTGTATTCAAGTATATGGATGAAAATTAGGTGGAAGGAAAGAGTGGGGTAGAAAAAGGCTGAGGCACAGGCCTTTTAAAAAGGTGAGAGAAATTCTCCTGAGCTTGAGTCTGTGCTTTCTTCAGTAGTCCAAAGTCATCTTTCCATATGAAATTAAATATTATATTTAATGGGGAAGTGAGGGGAACGGCACAGCAGTTTGATACGTTTTAAATCCAGTATGAAGTCTCCACTGAAATTCAGCCATCATTGCAGTGAATTTGATTTATTTGGGGCATAATGGTCTTAATGGAAAGTTTAGGGGAGGCGATGAAATGTTTGGTCAGCAGGTATAACTGTTAAAAGATTATGAAACAAAGATCATTTAGATTTTGTTGGATATTTAGGGTATCTGTTAGCCATTCCATTTAATTAAAGTGATAGAAGTTAACACAGGAATTGACTGCGTAACTGATCTATACAACCTTTTTCTGTTGCATTACTGAAATAGATCCTGTTATGAATATTGCCTTTTTGTTTTAAAGGCAATACCTGATGAGGAACCCATGTCCTACCTTGCCATACCACCATCAAGTACCACCCCACCACTCTGACACCATAGAGTTCTACCAGAGGCTGTCCACAGAGACGCTCTTCTTCATCTTCTACTACCTGGAGGTAAAAGTTTACCTTACTTGGTATTTCCTTCCTTTCTTTTTTTATATACAGCAGGGTGATTCAATGTTTTGTTCTTCTTCCTTTATCAGGGCACCAAGGCTCAGTATTTATCTGCCAAGGCTCTAAAGAAACAATCATGGAGGTTTCACACCAAGTACATGATGTGGTTTCAGAGGCACGAAGAGCCCAAGACTATCACTGACGAGTTTGAGCAGGTACAGCTTCTAAGCTAGTTTTCCATGCTCTGCAAAGCCTAACATGCTGCTCATTGTGGTTTATTAATGGTTGTTCCACTCGTTTCTCCCATTAGGGCACTTACATTTACTTCGACTATGAGAAATGGGGCCAGAGGAAAAAAGAGGGGTTCACCTTCGAGTACAGGTATCTGGAGGACAGAGACTTGCAGTGACACACAGAGAGGGACGCAAAAGGACAGAGAAAAACAAAACGTGCTGCTGTTGACATTCCGAGACTGAACTCCAAACTGTGGATAGAGATTGTGATGTGTAGTAGAACCTCCCTCCTGAAACAGGGGCCGGTGTCTGTATAGGCTGCATCTCAATGTGAAGCCCTAGCTCCTCGTGTAGTGCTTTTCTTTTCTTTTTGACACCACCACCCTGTGGGTCCGATCAAACATCCCTGCGCTGCACGAGCTGGGAAGGCTCCTTTTGGAGATCCGCGTCTGTGCCTGTTTGTGTACACACTCAGTATGTGGCATTAGGAAAAGCCCTAATCCCCTCCCCATGCATGTTTCTCATATTTTTTTCTTCTTTTTCCGTTTCAACGATTCTCTGTACCACCTGCCCAACATGAGCCTGGAAGCCTTTGACTCAACACGAAAACAAACCTTGGATTTGATTGTTATGGTGCCCATCTTGTATTTTCTGTAATTCGATGGTTTAAAACGGGACGTTCAGTGGACATTTAGTGATGGTGTGTAGGAACGGCTTCTTTTAAGACCCTACAATGCCTGTTGAATATGGTCACTATTGAAGATAGTGAGCGCTTATCAATAGTTTTATTGATATTGTCTTGGTCGGTTAAAAACGTGATTGAGAGTGACCACAGGGCCTCTCCCTGTGTAAGGGAAAGAGTCCTTATTGGACAAGGATTAAATTGCTATGCAATTGAACTGGTCTCTGACTCTCTTTACAAATAAAATGTTTTTAAGTTAACCTCTCAAAGATACTACGGCGCCTTCATGTTTGTTCACATAAATGAAACATCTTGGACCATCAGGGATTTTCATCATTAATACAGAAAAACAGCTATAGGTGCATCTCAGTAAATTAGGATAAAATGGAAAAGGTAATTTCACTGATTCAATTCAAAAAGGGACATGTTTATTGTTTGGACATGCAGTGTTACGCATGTTTCTTAAAACAATTAAAGATAATATTAAGTACTTCAGAAGTAACATTACATAATGGAAATAAAAGAGTTTTAATTATATGCTGTCATCCACTGTATCATTTAATTCCACTGTTGGTTGGGGCTCCTTTGCTTGAATTACTGCATTTTAGACAGTGGGATGAAAAAGAACTCCTGCATACCAAAGGTTTTTCAGGTTTCAGAAAAGGCCTAGTGGTTAGTGCAGTGAGCTTGTGCTCTGAGAAGCTTCCAAGTACCTGGTTTGATCCTTAACCCCAAACTGCTCCCTGGGCGCCGCACAATGGCAGCCCACTGCTCCTCAAGGAGATGGGTTAAATGCAGAGTTTATTGATCTCAGATTGAGAAAATTAAGTTCCATTATTATGAAAGCCAGATGCTGTTCTCCAGTTGCTGCAAGTTACTGTGAAACAACTCTGGTCGGTAGCAGAATTTCTATTAATCTGTTGCACTTTTCAGGTAATCTCGGAAGCAAAAGTCAGAAATGACAACAGGAGCCTGTAGATAAGAGATTAAATGCTAATTTTGCTTCACCCGATCAGATTAATTTTTAATACGGATTCATAGATTTTTTATTTATTTTTTTTTGGATTCCGTTTTTGCTAGTCAGTTTAAACATTTTATGCTACATTTTAATGCTGAAGGCAAACTGTCAGGAATTTTAACACTTCGCTCAAGTGTCCATCAGACCCACAATTTCTAGATTTCGTCCTCCTTTGTTAGAATAGTTTCCCAGTCTGCTGCCTGGGACACAGGGTTTTTAATTACATTGTACAGCTTTGCAGACAAAGGTTTAAAAAAAAAGTTCATAGTTGAGGAAGTAAATTAACCTCATAAATTTCCAGGTTACTGATCCATTAAAGGAAGAATTACACTGAACTGCAGATGCAATTGAAGGAAATATTTAGTTTGTATTGCATCCTAAATTTAAAGCAGATCTATTCATATATTTCCAGGTACCCAGACATAATTGGAAGCATAGATATCGTCACTAAAGGATATTTTTAAAATTGATTACGCTTTTTTTTTTTAAAAACACTTTCTTGTAAGTACAGCTATTTTAAAGGGACAGATTTAAAAAATTTTTTTTTTTTAAATGAACCATGGTTCAACTTGTCAAATAAGGCAAAGAAAGGCCGGGCAATTAAGTAGGTAAAAGTTAATGGCTGATAACTGGACCATACCTGATATAACTTCACATTTCATCTTTATTTACTGCTACATCCTTTTTGTGGGTTACACCTAGAAGCATATTTCACTAGTGGTTTTTCTTCCTTCAGGTAAGATGCGTCTTATATCTATAGGGAAGGAGTGGTTTAACCCAAATCTGACGGAAACAGCTGTAATTTTCAAGCTTAAATGTTTCTTGGCCTTATTCCAATTTTCAGTTTCTCATCAATTCAGCTATAATCTTGAAATGTAACAGCTATAAACATGGAATTAATCTGGATAAAAAAATTACTGAAAATATCTTTAGTTATATTACCAATTGAGATGCACCTGTAGCGTCACCGCTTACCTTATAAAAACTTTCAGCTGGGTCACGTTCTCGTTTCCTCCCCCCCCCCCCCACGCCCACTTTAATTTACCTCCTGTATTGAAATAAACCATGTACAGTGAATGTACGCTGATTACAGCTGTTTACATGTAGAGTTTAAATATAGAAATGCTCAATTATCAGTGGTATTTCTAACTTGTGGGTATTTTTCAAGCTACCACTTTGTCTTGGTCAGCTGTTAAAACTGAAACCATGAGAACTCCACATCTGTACAGCACTAAGTATTGTGTATGGTTATTATTTAAGGGTTTCTTTTGAAAGGAAGATGAAAAAAGAAAATGCAGATTTCTGATATCTGCTTCATATAGATTCTATTTTTTGGGAACTTTTATGGTTTTCTGAAAGGAAAAATGCCCAAAATGTGAATTTCAAAGGAACTTCTCGTTACATTTCTGCATGGGAGATGTCAAAACTGGGGTTATAAACGATTGTACAAAGTTCAATAAATGCTTTTAAGAAATTAAACAGTCTGTGGCATAAATTCCTGTCTTCCTTATCAGTAGAATTTTTAAAAATGCAGAAAGGGGTAAGGCCACTGCAAAATATATTCCACCCCTTTCCATCAGATGCCAGCCAATTCGAGAAAGTAAATCTTAAACACACTTAAAATACAAGTCAGCAAAATTAACGTTTAATTTCTTGGGAAACAGAAACTCAAAAGTCTAAACATTTTATTCTAAATGTGAATAAAAAAATAAAACTGAGTGGAGAACATTTAAGCAGATTAAAAAACGTGATGCTTTGCTGAGGGGACTGAATGTTCACATCTTGGATTCCTTTTTGACTTTGAGGAACTCAGCCATGTTGGAGAAATATTTCTGGTTGGCTTCGGCCACCTTCTTCTCTGCAGCCTGCGGGTTAACGATCTCCAGGCCCTGTAGACGACAGTAGGATGAGCTGAAGGAGAGGCTCAAACTGAAAAGGATAGCAGTGTGAAGCTCTCTCTTCTTACCTGGAGGGGAGTGAAGGCTACACTGGAGCTGGTTCCAGACGAGCGATCTCTGACTGTCGACTTGCCGCCGTATGTCATGCTCTGTTTCTGCAGCGTCCTCTGTTGGTGAAAAAAAACAGCACAGAATGATATAAGAATTAAAAGAGAATAAAAGAAAAAACAATAACGATAAAATGGAGCAATGTTTACCTGCAGGGATTTGGAGATCCTCGCCTTGGTGGCCTCGTTGACCTGAGCCTGCCTGACTCTGCCGCTCCCGCTTTTCCCCAGCTGACCCAGACTGAAGCCCAGATCCTCCTGATACGCATCATCCTCAATCTGGAGTACAAAGTCTGAGATTAGCTCATAGGCTCTCTGATTAACCTCTTAAAACCCACCGGGTCACCAGTGGGGGACCCGGTGGGGGTAATAATTCGAATACATAAAATTCCACCGGTAAATTTTTTTACCAGCAGGTGGAGCCATTGTGCGCAGCGCAAAGCTGACACCAAAAGTTCCATACCCCAAAGCTCTGGAATTTTCTGCGTTTCTGGTTGACATGATGGAGAACAAATATAATACAATGAAACCTGCTTTTTCTCAAGAATGTCTTCATTACTGCTGTTCAAAAAAAGACCCATCATTTCGAGAATAAAAAACAAAAACGAGTCATGTTTCAACTGATGCAGGTTGGTCTGTGTTCTACTCACCCAATTTTAAATTATATATTAGGAAACCAGAAGGTTTTAGCTTTCAAATAAGGTATTGCACATGTAATTTGGGCTTACAGTTCCTAAATTATTTGCTTTTTCATTTGGGTATGCAAAATAGGCGAGGCTTACCCAAAATGAGGTGGATGTTAAGAGGTTAATAAACATTGGGGACCAAGTAAACCTCACTTAGAAGATGGCACTAAAATTATGCTTGCATCAGAAAATTTGATGAATTTAACCCAGTAAACTGTGCCTATCATGTTTTAGCACATTAACAAAATGCTCAGAGTGTTTCCCATTTGCTGAATACAATACTTTAACATCCAGCTTCACAATCCAGAAAACATTTAAGCATTTCTTACAACTTTTAAGAGTAAAAAAAAATACAATTTAATTTAAACATGAAACAAGGATTCGTCTTCCACAGGCCTGAGGCCTTTCTTTAAGGTGTGGAGATTTATTCTAAAAATACTTCATTCACATTTTCTTAGCAATAAAGAATATTAGTGAAACACATCTAAAAGTGGAGCTTAGGGATAAAATTCTATAAAAACACCCACCTCTGCAAAGGTCATTCTGTTGGCGTGTTTCCTGATCTCAGTCAGTCCAAGACGCTCCTTCATCTTTCGATACCTGCAGGGAAAGACATCAGAGCAGCATGCTTGAATATGAGATATACTGATGTTTGCTGGCATTTAGAACATAAGTGTGAGTTGATGCTGTCTTTGCTTCCCAGTGATCTGTTACTGTTTAATGTTTCATTTGCTGCAGGAACAGCTTTGGTTATTAGAGTCACTTTAGATAGACTTGAAATAATTAAATGGTTTTATTTAATTATCCCTGCTTTTTCAAGGGCTTCATGAGGCTTTTGGTCGATCTAAGAACAATACTGTACATCTGAACAGTGTGAAGCATGCCTTCCTGACAGATTCCATACCTCCTTCCTCCTCTCTTCTTCCTCTGTCCATCCAACGGAGCTGGCAGAGGTTTAACCTGCTTCACCGGTGGCGGCTCTTGCCATTTATCAAACTTTCTCTCGATCTCCTCTTTTAGGTCATAGCCAACCTGCAAGGTACAACATTTGCAATCATCAGATTAATAATCTTTGTTACTTTAACGGACTTTATAGCTTAAAAAAAAAAAAAAAAAAAAAAAAAAAAAGGGCATGTCTTCAACCTTTCCATCTGAACTCTCATGGAAACTGTCCACTCGTGAAGCCAGGGTGCATTTTGCCGCCACCAGACGGGCCGCTTTCCTCCTCAGGTCCTAAAGTGGAGGGGAGAAAAAAAAAACTGACCAACATTGTTTCCTTTTGAATGGAAACTAAGATATATAAAAAGCGTTCCGTGTTGCCAGTGCAGGGACTGCATACTTTATGAACTTACAGGTGGCAGCGACTGCACAACGTCACAGTGGTAGATGAAGCCTGTATGGGGAAGCAGGGACGTACTGCTGAAGCCTGATAGGGTTCTCCTCTGGGCTCCCAGCAGCATAAGGTTACAGGCTGGCATCTTTGAAAGGTTGGTGAGACCGCCAGCGATCCCTACGGTGAGGAAAACAAAGATCAACAACAAATAAAATCTGCTTTCATAA